GTCCAGCCCTACAGGGTACTGTGAGTCCCTCTCTGCTAGTGCAGAGATGAGAAACTGTGGAAATAAAAGACACAAGACACCAAGAAAAAGAAAACAAGAGTTTGGGCCCAGGGGTCTACTGCCAACCAAAGCTCGAGGTCAGGCAGTGGCCCCCAGTGCCTGGGCACTCTGACTTTTATTGAGTACGAAGCAGGGGGCAGGGTAGGTTAGTGTGAGGTAATGGAAGTCAGTGGTAGGGTCAGGTAAATCACATGTCTTAGAGATAGGGGCCCAGGTCTTTGAAGTAGCCCAGGCGAGGAGAAAACCTAATATGTCAGCACTTTTCCCATACTTGTCAAGAAAGAACAAAAGCATTAAGGTTTATGTTACTACTACTGATTCTTATCTTTTGGGAAAAAGAGAAACCAGGTGCAGAAACAGAGCATGAGAGTGGACAGAGAACATGACCACTGAAGCACAGCATCACATAGAGACAGTTAAGCCCCTGGATGTCTGTGGGCCTACTTGACAGCTGTCAGGCCTACCACAAGAGCTTGGAGGAGCGGAGTTTTCTCCTAACTTACCCAAGGAAGGAGCTGTCTCGGTCATTTTGGATGTCTCCTTCCCTAGCTGGCTAAACAGCGGGTGCTTTCCCAGTGCTGGCGCTGTCACACAGCTGAGGCACCCTCCAGCAACCCTTATGCAGGCGTGACAGAGGGCTTAGAGCATCTTGCCTTAGGATCATTTTGTTCACCATGTCACCTCAGTTCCATGCTTCATAGCCCGATAATCATTAGTAAACTCAAAAGGTTATATTGAGCATATATATGTGAATAAATATGTAATTATATATGGTTATACATATAGGAATAACTATGTAGGTATAATAGGATATATATAATATATATACAGGAATAACTATGTAGCTATAATATATAATAATATATTCCGATATATAGGAATAACTATGTAGCTATGTCTAATTCTTTTTCTAGTTCTGTATTTATATGGGAACAAGCTGAGACTTCAGACCCCTGCTTTGGCACTTGCGGGGTCTCCCACAGGGTCTCCCACCCACAAGGTCAGGAGTTCAAGACCAACCTGGCCAACACAGTGAAACTCCTTCTCTACTAAAAACTACAAAAAATAGCCGGGCATGGTGGCAGGTGCCTGTAGTCCCAGCTACTTGGAAGGCTGAGGCGGAGAATCACTTGGAATCTGGGTGGGAGAGATTGCAGTGAGCTGAGATCACACCACTGCACTCCAGCCTGGGCAACAGAGTGAGACTGCATCTCTTTATTTATTTATTTATTTATTTATTTAAAGATGGGGTTTCACCATTTTGGTCAGGCTGGTCTTGAACTCCCGACCTCAGGTGATCTACCCGCCTTGGCCTCCAAAGTGCTTGGAGTACAGATGTGAGCCACCACGCCCGGCCTGCATCTCTTTAAAAAAAAAAAAAAAAAAAAAGGAATGAGTGGCTGTGATTGGAAAAGTATATATTTTCCTAAAAATTAAACATCAATACCTATGAAAAGGGAAAATAAAAAATTAAAATTGTAGCAAGTACTAGAGCCAAAAAAAAAATTAAAATTAAACATAGATGTTGGGGTGCACTAGTGGAAGATAAAAGTCTGGTCCTATGTATTTAAACAAGATTTTATTAAAGTTTTGATCTGGCTTTAATAAAATTGCAAAAGGTTTTTTTTTTTTTTTTTTTGAGACGGAGTTTCGCTCTTGTTACCCAGGCTGGTGTGCAATCTCGGCTCACCGCAACCTCCGCCTCCTGGGTTCAGGCAATTCGCCTGCCTCAGCCTCCTGAGTAGCTGGGATTACAGGCACACACCACCATGCCCAGCTAATTTTTTGTATTTTTAATAGAGACGGGGTTTCACCATGCTGACCAGGATGGTCTCGATCTCTTGACCTCGTAATCCACCCGCCTCGGCCTCCCAAAGTGCTGGGATTATAGGCTTGAGCCACCGCGCCCGGCCAAGGTTTTTATTTTAATTCTAGAATCTGTTTTTTTGTTTGTTTGTTTGTTTTGGTTTTGAGACAGAGTCTCACTCTGTTTCCCATGCTGGAGTGCAGTGGTGCAATCTTGGCTCACTGCAACCTCTGCCTCTTGGGTTCAAGTGATTCTCCTCCGTAGCTTGTAGTCCCAGCCATTTGGGAGGCTGAGGCAGAAGAATCACTTGGACCCAGGACTCGGAGGTTGCAGTGGGCCGAGATTGTGCCACTGCACTCCAGCCTGGGTGACAGAGCAAGACTCTGTCTCAAAAAAAAAAAAAAAAAAAAAAAAAAAAAAAAAAATTACACATTAGAGCGATAATGTAAAAATAAAGTGTTTAAAAAGTTAAATGTCTCCAAACGTTAAACATTGCTTGAAATTGGGCATGATGGGTCATGACTGTTATCCTAGCAGTTTGGGTGGCTTAGGCAGGTGAATTGCTTGAGTACAGGGGTTCGGGACCAGCCTGAGCAACATGGTGGTTTCTACAAAAAAAAAGTTCATAAAATTAGCCAGGTAATAAGGTTTGGCAATGTCCTCACCTAAATCTCATCTTGAATTGTAGCTCCCACACTTCCCATATGCTGTGGGAGGACCCAGTGGGAGATAACTGAATCATGGGGGCTGTTTTCCCCACACTGTTCTCAGGGTAGTGAATAAGTCTCAAGAGACCTGATGGTTTTATAAGGGGTTTCCTCTTTTGCTTGGCTCTCATTCGCTCTTGTCTGCTGCCATGTAAGATGTACCTTTCACCTTCTGCCATGATTGTGAGGCCTCTCCAGCCATGTGGAACTGTGAGTCCATTAGACCTCTTTTTCTTTATAAATTACCGGAGCTCCAAGCTACTGCTCGTCTAGCTACACCTCCCCTAACCAGTGCGTTTTCTTTTTCGTGCTCCCTGCGGGTGCTCTCTTCTGGAACCTCGGCCCTTTCTTCTTTCGCACCTGCAGGGTTTAGTCTCTAGGACTGCTTAGGTGGGCGCCAGGAACCGGGAATCCCAACGCGGACCTATCCGTCAGAAGACTCCACCAGTGCCCCGGAGACCTTGGAAACCCGGGGCGCCTGCGCGCTACTCCATTTCCCCAGCTCCCACCCGGCAGCGCTTGGCCGTTGCCATGGAGACTGGTAATGGCCCCGCCTCCACACCGGAAAACAGGCGGGAACCACATGACCCAGAAGCCTGTGCGCAAGCGTCTGCGCGCCTATTGGGCCAATGTGAGCTGAGGGGGCTGGACTTCCGGCTCTGCACTGTCAGTTCGCTGCCCGCGTCAGCCCATACGGGTGGCCTGGGCTGTGGCGCGCAGGTCGGGGCCTGAGGCGGGCGGCTAGGAAGGTACTGTCCGCGAGCAGCCGCTGGCTCCCACAAGCCTCGGTTTCTTCGAGTACGGCGTGGGCGACCCGGGGGCAGTCGGACCCCAACGGGAGCCACGCGTTCTCCGGCGCTGTGGAAGCCCCGGAGGGGGCGCACTGGGCATTCTGCGCCCAAGACTACCGGGGAGGCTGAGGCGCGCACGGGGCAGTCGCGCGACACTGCGGGCGGAGATGGCGGTACCGGGTGGTTCACGCCTCTCTCCCCGCCCAGCTGCGGGTTTCGGTGGCCGCGCTGACAGACCCGCGCCGGGGAGGCGGGGGAGCGAGCCCCTGCTCCCACAGACCGCGCCCCCACGGAGGGAGGCCCTTTCCTAGACCTCTCTGCCGGTCGTCTTTCCTCTTCCTGCCTTGGGGCGTCAGTGCAGACCCCTGTGTTCAAGGCACCTGTGGGCTGAGGTCCTGAAGGAAGCTCCGAGGGTAGAGCTCTGCATGTGGAAAACCTGGGAGGGGGGCCGGAGCCCAGGTGCTTCTGGGACTGAGCGCTCTCGACGTGGAGCTCGGGGAGTGGGGACGCGTGTGGCTGCAGTAGCGGGCGAGGAGGTGGGCTTTATCTCGAGGTCGTCGGGAGACATAGAAGGTTTTGAACAGAATCAGGACACCCTCTGAGTTGGAATTTTAAAAAGGTTCCACTGCTCGCTGCGTGAAGAACAGACATGCAGGGGTATCGGCATGAATGGAAGAACCTACTGCCACAGTCTGTGCAGCAGTGGAGGTGGGCGACGAGGTGAATTCTGGTGAATCTGTGGATGCATCAGGTGTGGGGTGGTTGAAGAATTAACTGCCCCACGTTGTTCACCCTGAGTGCCTGGAAGAAGGGAGCTGCTGTAGACAAAGGAGAATTGAAGGGAAAGCAGGTTTCCTTCAGGGGAAAGATCAGGAGTCTGGGATGTCCCAGATTGGTCATGTTACTAGACCTGACATTGTTGGTGGCCTGGGCTGAGGACAGGGCATATGAACTGGACTGAGGAAGGCGGTAGTGACTCAGGCGTGGGCAGTTAAAGCTTGAGGGTAAAGAAAAAACTGGCTGGGGGGCCTGAGGCTATCAGGGGAGGTGTTTGGCAGGTGACTGAAAGAAGAAGATGGCAGCAAAGTGGGAAAGAAATAGAGGGGCGCCATGGGGAGGGAGGAAGGGATTGAATTCCTGTGTGTTCACAGGTTCTTGGGGCTGTTCCCCTTTGATGACTGGTGGGGATCATCCTTTCCCTCAGGCTGTCAGGCAAGCACAGCAGGGGAAGATCTCAGTGATGGGCATGTGTGTGGGGTCCACAGCTGGGACTTTACACAGTTGCTTATTACAAAAGCAAGAAGGACATATTTGGGGAGGGACATGAGTGGTCATGCTGAGACATGAGTGGATACTTGAGGCTGCCCTTGATGTGGCAGCTAAGAGCCCAGTCAGGGCTTGCTCTAGCCTGCAAATGTAGGGGTGGCCAGTGGGAAGGTCCATCAGGGGCCTGGACCAAGAGGGCAGAAGAGAGAGGTTCCAGACAGATGAGGGAAGTGCCACTTGAAGATAATCCTGGGGCAGAACCCAGGGAAGGAGGGACATCAGGGGAGGTGACTGTTGGGATGGGGAGCTTGGTCCTGGGTCACATCCATACCTTAGACCATGCCTACCTCCACCTCCCTGCTCTTTTAGGATCTGATGGCCTTTGAGGATGTGGCCGTGTACTTCTCCCAGGAGGAATGGGGGCTCCTGGACACAGCACAGAGGGCCCTGTACCGCCATGTGATGCTGGAAAACTTCACACTTGTGACCTCACTTGGTAAGGCCCTGAGTGCTCCCTGGAAAGTGCAGTTGGTGACCATTTGGCCTACCAGGACATCCTCTTCACTTCTCTCCTGGCCAATGAGCAGGATCAAATCTCGCTGGGGCCACATGGAACAGGGGTCTGGTCCTGTAGACATGTAGTTTGGTTGGGTCAACCACTCCCAGCAGCCCTGTCCAGCTGTGGCCTCTCCCGTGCCCGGGAACAGTCCCCTTCTTTTGGTGCTCTTGGCACGGTTCTGCTCTGGGGACGCATGAGCTACTCCCATGATCCACTTGCCCTGTGCCATCTTTAGATTCTCCCAGTTGCACCCATGACTATTTCCATGGAGCCCTGACTGCTGCTCTCTGTTGGGAGGTGCATTGTCTTGAGCTGGGGCTGAGCTCTCACCTGCTTCTCATCCTCACAGGACTCTCCACCTCCCGACCTCTTGTGGTCATCCAACTTGAGCATGGTGAGGAGCCCTGGGTTCCCAGCGTGAAGGACATGACCTTGGCCAGGAACGCCTATGGGAGGCACAACACTGGTGAGTGGGAGCTCAGGGTGGGGTGAACTCGGGACCAACCTGTGGCCAAGCCTCTGTCCCCCCTTTTCTGACTCTGGAAACAAATCCTCCCCTCCTGCCTCCCACCTTACTTCTTCTCTTCCATCATCAGCCTCTCCTGGAGGCTGCAGACAGTAGGTGCCCTTGAAGGGAGAGCTACAAGAGCACAGGAGCTGGTTCACACAGAAGGGCCTAACCTCAGCTGGACTGTGTGGCCTTGAATCCTCTGTGACTAGTGGCCATGATTGATAGGTCATTTATTTCTCCCATCATTCGTCTTTGGGTTCATCGGATGCTTCTTTTTTATTTTATTTTAATTTTTTTAGAGACAGGGTTTCTCCATGTTGGTCAGGCTGGTCTCAAACTCCTGACCTCAGGTGATCCGCCCGCCTTGGCCTCCCAAAGTGCTGGGATTACAGGCATGAGCCACCACGCCTGACCTCATCAAATGTTTCTTGAGGGCTTGCAGGAACTATAGACACAGCCTTGACCAGGACATTTCTGGTCCTACGTTTGTGGGGCTGATGGGGAGAGGCACTCGGTAAACAGGATTCAGGAGTACAGTCTAGAGCATTGGATGGAGGTCATTGCAAGAGCAGGCTGGGGATTCAGTGCCCGAGACAGGGACACCAGGGAAGAAGGGAGTGACCTATGGAAAGGGAGTGGGTGGAACAGCCAGTGTGGAGACCTGAGTGTCACACAGCAGCTGCTCAGTTTTCCTCAGCCCCACATCCTGGGTGTCTGGGGGCTGTCGCCTTGATCGTGGGAGTTCCCACTGCAGTCAGTGCCACACCCATCAGGGCAGATGCTTCCCCCAAACCCCCAGCCACTCTTGCAGGGCTGGCCTCACCTCTACTTTTCCGCTAAGCTTTTGTGCCAGTCACCAAGATCCCCCTTGCTTGTCTACTCAGCCTACCCTGGTACTCTCCTAACCAGGATGCCCCAGGCAACCACTATTTCTCTGCCTTTAGGTGCCTGGCGTTTGGAAGAGGATGGAGATGTTTCTGGAGAAGCAGCATGGCCAGGGGCCTTCCCAGATACTCCACCTGTGATGACTGCTAGTGTCTTCCCTGTTGACGCTGCCTGCCACAGTACAGAAGGCCTGCAGCAACAACGGGGTGCCTCCCCATCTCGGGAGAGAAAACCCACGGGGGTGTCGGTGATCTACTGGGAGAGGCTCCTGCTAGGCTCAGGTAGGGACCAGGCCAGCATCAGCCTGCGACTGACCTCCCCGCTCAGGCCCCCTAAGAGCAGCCGGCCCAGGGAAAAGACCCTCACAGAGCACCTAGTGCCTAGGAGGCAGTCCAGGGTGCCCAAGCGTCAGAAGCCATGTGCGCCGGAGGCCCCTGGGAGAGCCTTCGGGAACGCCCTGGACCTGAAGTCCGCCAGTGGTGGAGGGGATCATGGAATGGGTGCGGCTTGGCAAGAGCCTCAGAGACTGCTCCAGGAGCCTTCGACCTGGGATGAGCTGGGCGAGGCTCTCCACGCTGGGGAAAAGTCCTTCGAATGCAGGGCGTGCAGCAAAGTGTTCGTGAAGAGCTCCGACCTCCTCAAGCACCTACGCACCCACACAGGGGAGCGGCCCTATGAGTGCTCCCAGTGCGGCAAGGCCTTCAGCCAGACGTCGCACCTGACGCAGCACCAGCGCATCCACAGCGGCGAGACGCCCTACACGTGCCCCGCGTGTGGCAAGGCCTTCAGGCACAGCTCCTCACTGGTACGGCACCAGCGCATCCACACGGCTGAGAAGTCCTTCCGCTGCTCCGAGTGCGGCAAGGCCTTCAGCCACGGCTCCAACCTCAGCCAGCACCGCAAGATACACGCGGGCGGACGTCCCTATGCCTGTGCACAGTGTGGCCGCCGCTTCTGCCGCAACTCGCACTTGATCCAGCACGAGCGCACGCATACAGGCGAGAAGCCCTTTGTGTGTGCACTCTGCGGTGCCGCCTTCAGCCAGGGCTCCTCACTCTTTTTGCACCAGCGTGTGCACACGGGCGAGAAGCCTTTTGCTTGCGCACAGTGCGGCCGCTCCTTTAGCCGCAGCTCCAACCTGACCCAGCACCAGCTCCTGCACACAGGCGAGCGGCCCTTCCGCTGCGGGGACTGTGGCAAGGGTTTCGCCAAGGGCACTGTGCTGCTGAGCCACCAGCGCATTCACACGGGCGAGAAGCCCTTCGTGTGCACGCAGTGTGACCGTGCCTTCCGTGAGCGCCCAGCCCTCTTGCACCACCAGAGGATCCACACAACAGAGAAGACCAATGCTGGAGCAGCAGACTGCACCCCTGCACCAAGACTCCTTCCAGTGCATCGTCGGAAGGTGCGTCGGGGAGGGAAGCCAAGCCCAATCCTGAAGCCAGCGAAAGTCTGAGGTCACAGGTTGCAGCCTCACCCTTTCTTGGCCTTATGTGAATCCCTTTCATAGCTAAAGAGTCCATGTCCTCTTCAAATCCACGATGGGGAAAAGCCCTGTGCCTGAGAGTCCGGGAAGAGGGAGACCCTTTGGCTGTGGTTCCATTTGCAGGTGGGAACAGGATTTGCCAGTTTATTCATAGCTCACACCTCCATCCCCAAAGAGGTAACATTGCAGAAGCATCAGAGAGAGGACATGTCAGTCCCAGCTGTAATTTTGCAGAAACATCAGAGGGACTGACATGTCCAGCTGTAACACTGCAGAAACATCAGAGCAAGGACATGTCAGCTGGGACTCTGGTGGGACTGAGGCTGTAGCTGGAGCCATGGGAGGCTGACAAAATCAGCACTGCGCAATGGTGCTGCTTCATGTATTATGATACTGGATGCTGAAGTGAGGGGAATGCAGACGTGGGGGGCAGGGGTAGCCCAGAGAAACTTAGGGCATCTACATACAAACTGGCTGCTGTACAGATGCTGAGGACATTTTACCCCCAGGCCTTTGTTCAAGTCTCCGTGGGGACCATCCCTCCAGATAGGAGACTATAGGGCGCTGGGAATCAGGGTGTGGCCTATGAGTGTCAGCGTCCTCTGAGAAAAAGAAAAGGTTTGGGTCTACTCATCATCATGTTTGCAGATTCCGACAGGCAGGATCCTAATGACAGTCAACCTGTGCTCACTGCCAGCTCCTGGGCTGTGTGTGCTCTGGTCAGGCAAGTGTGAGGGGCTGGCCTGGGGTCAAGCACACAGCCGACTCAGGAGAGGGATGCCTGTGGGGGAGCATGTGGCTCTTAGCATTGGAAGGACAAATCTAGGATGATGGTTTTCCAGTGGCACTTGTTCAGGTTCTCATCCATGTCTCAGCTTGGCCAAGGCCTGTCACTGACTCGTTTACCAAAGTCAATGTGATGAGGAGGCTTTACACTTGAAAGGACAGTGATAGCTTCAGAGCAAATAAGGTGGAGCTGCTCATTTTTGCTGGGTTTGGTGGCCACTTCCCCCCCACAACTCCCTGTCTCATCTTACCCTTATTATGCCTCCTCAATTGGGGGGTTGACAAGAGAGCTGAATAGGAAGGACTTGCCATTACCTAAGGTCATGCATGACACCCTCCTGAGGGTGGGCCTCCCCACCCCAGTGTAATGGCCCTGTATGGCAGAGACAGAAGGGTGGACTGGGGGCCATTTGCTTCCTGTGGCCTTAAGCCTACTATATCCCATCCCTACCTAGGACCTTACCTTCAAGGAAATTAATGGTCTTTTCAATGGAAAAAATAAAAAGACGAGCATTTGCAACTTAAAATAGATGTAGTTTCCTTTACAGCAGTGTGGACCTCCACAGCACAGACTCCTGTCTCTATTCCAGGGCATGGTTCAGTCTTTTTTGTTTGTTTTTGAGATGTAGTTTCGCTCTTGTTGTCCAGGCTGGAGTGCAATGTCATGATCTTGGCTCACTGCAATCTCCACCTCCCGGGTTCAAGTGATTCTCCTGCCTCAGCCTCCTGAGTAGCTGGGATTACAGGAATGTGCCACCACACCCAGCTAATTTTATATTTTTAGTAGAGACAGGGTTTCTCCATGTTGGTCAGGCTGGTCTCAAACTCCCGACCTCAGGTGATCCGTTCACCTCGGCCTCCCAAAGTGCTGGGATTACAGGCGTGAGCCACCATGTTTGTTTGTTTGTTTGTTTGTTGAGACAGTGTCTCAATCTGTTGCCCAGGCTGGAGTGCAGTGGGGCAATCTCGGCTCCGCCTCCTGAGTTGAAACCATTCTTCTGCATCAGCACCTTGAGTAGCTGGGATTGCAGACTTCCACTACCACACACCTGACTAATTTTGGTATTTTTAGTAGAGACGAGGTTTCACCATGTTGGTCAGGCTGGTCTCAAACTGACCTCAAGTGATCGGTCCACCCTGTTCTCCCGAAGAGCTGGGATTACAGGTGTGAGCCACCGCCTGCCTACATACCATGATTTTAAAGTTGCAGTGGTTCCCTATTGCTTGTAACTCAGTCTTGTCTTTTCAGTGGTAACCAATTTCCGTTTCAAACTGAAAGGGGCATGAGAGTGAGTTCTGGTATTAGTCTGTTTTGTATTACTATAAGGGAACACCTAAGGCTGGGTAATATATAAAGAAAAGAGGATTAATTGGCTCATGGTTTTGCAGGATGTACAGCCATGGCACCAGCATCTGCATGGCTTCTGGTGGGACCTCAGGAAGCTTGCAATCATGATGGAAGGTGAAGGAAGAGCTGGCATATCACATGGCAAGACAGGAAGCAAGAGCGAGACGGAGGAAGTGCCACACACTTTTTTTTTCCGAGACAGAGTTTCGCTCTTGTTGCCCAGGCTGGAGTACAATGGCACGATCTCAGCTCACTGCAACCTCTGTCTCCTGGGTTCAAGTGATTCTCCTGCCTCAGCCTCCTGAGTAGCTGGGATTATAGGTGTGTACCACCATGTCAGCTAATTTTTGTATAATATTTTTAGTAGAATCAAGGTTTTGCCATGTTGGCCAGGCTGGTCTCAAATTTCTGGCCTCAAGTGATCCACTGCCTCAGCCTCCCAGAGTTGGGATTACAGGCATCAGCCACTGCACCCAGCTTTCACACACTTTTAACCAAATCTTTCATGAACTCAGAGCAAGAGCTCACTTCTCACCAAGGGGGATGGTGCTAAGCTATTCATGAGGGATCTACCCCCATACTATGGTTCGGATGTTTGTCTCCTCCAGACCTCATGTTGAAATGTAATCCCCAATGTTGGAGATAGGTCCTGGTGAGAGGGGTTTGGGTCATGGGGGTGGAGGGCTCACGAATGTCTTGGTGCTGTCCTCATGATAGTGAGTTGTCACAAGATGTGGTTATTTAAAAGTGTGTGGCACCTCTTTCCTTTCTCTCTTGCTCCTGCTCTCAGCTCCCCCTTCATTCTACCATCGCTGCGATCCAATTAAATCTTTTTATAAATTACCCAGCCTTAGGAATTTATTTACAGTAATACAGGAATGGCTTAATATCCTCATGATCCAACACCTTCCACTAGACCCCACGTCCAGCATTGGAGATCACATTTCAACATAAGATTTGGAGGGGACACACATCCAAACCATATCAGTTTTCTTGTCCCTAAGTGAAGAGGCACTTGCTCCCTCTAAACCCAATTCTAGGTGACTAGAGATTTATGAAGGTGGTGGGATGTTTGTTCATGATGTGTTGTGGCCTCATAGGGTCTCCCTACTTCTGCAAGAACACCACTTTCGGGGACTTTTGGCTCAGCCAGAAGGTTCACATAAAGTTTGGTCATCTGGCACTTTGAGCACTCCGCCAACACAGGTGATCATAGATTCCAGGACACATAAAAGAGTGAGTTGCTGGGCATGGTGGCTCACGCCTGTGATCCCAGCACTTTGGGAGGCCAGGGCAGGCAGATCACGAGGTCAGGAGTTCAAAAGCAGCCTGGCCAAGATTGTGAAAACCTGTCTCTACTAAAAATACAAAAATTAGCCAGGCGTGGTGGTGGACGCCTATAATCCCAGCCACTTGGGAGGCTGAGGCAGAGAACTGTTTGAACCTGAGAGGTGGAGGTTGCAGTGAGCCGAGATTGCACTACTGCACTCCAGCCTGGGTGACAGGGTGAAACCTGGGAGGTGGAAGTTGCAGTGAGCTGAGATTGAACCACAGCAAACTCCAGTCTGGGTGAAATAAAAAGAGCTCTATCATCAGATGTCAGCTTAATTAAAAGCTGAGCTGATATTCAGGAGATATATATGTATATAATTTTTTTTTTTTTAAGAAAAAATAACCTTTCTACTTTTTCTCATTTGGATCCTGTTTCTCGGAATTTTTTTTTGAGATGGAGTTTAGCTCTGTTGCCCAGGCTGGGGTGTAGTGGCGCGATCTAAGCTCACTGCAACCTCCGTCTCCCGTGTTCAAGCGATTCTCCTGCCTCAGCCTCCTGAGTAGCTGGGACTACAGGCACCTGCCACCACGCCCAGCTAATTTTTTGTATTTTTAGTAGAGACAGGGTTTCACCGTGTTAGTGAGGATGATCTCAATCTCCTGACCTCATGATGTGCCTGCCTTGGCCTCCCGAAGTGCTGGAATTACAGGCGTGAGCCAATGTACCCAGCCAGAATTTTTTTTTTTTTAGTTGACTGAAACTCCTTTTTAAATATGTTTGGTCCCTCTGTTTCCTTCTTTTCTTGTTAGTATATTGTAAAATTTCATTTGCCTTCTGAAAAACTTAAAATCTCTCCAAATTGGTTTAAGAGTTGTTCTCCCATTTTCTTCTACTCTTTCTTCCTTTTGCTATCTTTGATACCACATAAAGAAATTCGAAAGAGTCTTCTAATGTCCCTGAGACCCTTTGAGGAACACAGAAGAAGTGTCACATATACCTTTTATGGAGTCTTCTGTCTTCCTCATGGAGTCCTAGAGAAGCAGGCAGTTTATTTTAAGTCTAAAGCTCTGATCTCTTTTACATTGAGTTCTCTGATGTTTTGGCTTGGGGGGGTTCTATGAAAGAACATGATCTTTGGGTGAGTAATGGCTGGCAAGTTACTGGCAAGGGCTGCAGTTTTGGTGGTAGGTGATAGCAGTTGTCAGTGAGTGGTTATTACTGCAGGGTCTGCTAATTCCTTTGCATGTTTAAATAAGAAAACCATTGTTTGAACACTTGGAGACATATAGAAACACTCATCACCAAGGGATAAGAATCCTGTGGGAGATGGGCTGATCACAGAGTGGGCTAATTGGTGCTAGGTCTCCCACCAACCTCAGGGAATGTCCATGCAGTGAGGTGCACTGTGGAAGCACAGCCCCATCCTGTGTGTGGTATTTCCATCTTGTGGGGGACTCAAGATTCCATATAAAAGTGGGATTCTTGATTTTTGAAGCGCTAGATCCTCTGCCT